TATGGTTAGAGTTTTGGCTCGGTTTGGTTTTAAGGCTATGATTAGGGTTAGTGAATTTTTTAGGATTAGTGTTAGGGTTAGGTCTAGTCTTAGATTTAGGCTTAGGCTTTGATTTAGGGTTAAATTTAGAGTTAGGTTTTTATCTAAGGTTAGTGCTAGGGCTAAGTATAGGGCAAGGGTTAGGACTAGAATTTGGGATAGGTTTAGGTTTATGGGAAGGGCTAGGATTAGAATGAGTGATAGGGCCAGTGTGAGAGTTAGAGTTATTCTTAGGGCTAGGGTTAGAGTTAGGTTTAGGGATAGGGCTAAATTATGGCTAGGGTTAGGGTTAGGGATAGGGTTAGAGCTAGTTTTAGGAATAGCATCAGGGTTTGGGCAATTTTTAGGCTTAGACATGGAGTTAGGGTTACATTTTAAGTTAGATTTCGATCTAGTGTTAAAGCTAGGGCTAAGGATAGGGCAACTGTGATGAAAAGGTTGAGGTTTAGAGTTAGGCTTATGATTAGGGCAAAGGATGTGCTTTTGGCTGGGTTTAGGGCTATGGCAAGGGTTAGTATTAGGGTTAGGGATAGAGTTAGGGTTAGGGTTATGATTAAGGCTAGGTTTATGTCTAGGATGAGGTTTAGGGTTTGTGTTAGGGTTAGAAATAGTATTATGGCTGGAGCTAATGTGAGGTCTAGGGTTATAGTTAGGGCTCGATTTAGTGTTAGGTTTATGGCTTCATCCAGCGTAAGAATTAGGTTTAGATTAAGATTCAGGTTTATATCTAGGGTTATATTTAGGGTCAAAGTAAGGTTAGGGTTTGGGTTAGGTTAGGCTTTAGCCTAAGCCAAACCGTCACCCTATTACTAGTCCTAACCCTAGCCCTCATTCTAGCTCTAAGCATAACTCAAACCCTAAACATAACCTTGACACTTTTTCTGACCATAACAGTAACTGTGTGTCTAAACCTGAACCTAACCATAAACCAAACCCTAACACTACCACTAGCAATAAACCTATACCTAAACCTAAGCCTAACACTAGCCCTAGACCTAAACCTTATCCTGTCTCAAGCCATCTCTCTATCTCTAGACCTAAACAATAACTTAGCCCTAGCCCTAATGATAAACCTTAACCTAATACAAACACTAATCCTACCCCTAGACCTAACTCTAGTGATAATTCTGGGTTTAACACTAACCCTAACTATAACCCAAACACTGACCCTAACCCTAACACTAACCCTAGCTCTAAACATCACGAAAATGGTAACCCTAATCCTAACACTTGATCTAGCCGTAACACTTACCCAAAAAGTAGCCCTAATCATAACCCTGATTTATACATCAGTTTTAGGCCTAACACTAGCTCCAACCTAACACAAAACCTAGCCCTAAGCCAAGCGCTAACCCTTGTTTTAACCATAACCCTAAACCTACCCCTAATCCATAACCTAACCCTAAATCTAACCCTGAAGTATTACCCTATCCATTACCTTAAGCTAAACCCTAAACCTAATGCTAACCCTTGTCCTAACCCTAATTCTAGCCTAACCCAACCCCTAACCCTATTACTAGGCCTAACCCTAACCTTCATAACAGCTCTAAACCTAACCCAAACCCAAACCCTATCCCTGACACTTATTCTGAACCTAATACTAACAGCAGGTATAAACCTGACCCTAACCCGAAACCAAACCCTAACATTAGCCCTACAGGTAATCATATACTTAAACCTAAACCTAACACTAGCCCTAGACGTAAACCTAATCCTAAATCTACCCATATCTCTAGCCCTAGACCTGAAAAACAACCTAGCCCTAGCCCTAACAATAACCCTTAACCTAACCCAAACACTAACCCTACCCCTAGACCTAACCCTAGTCCTACTTCTGGCACTATATCCAACACTAACTCTAACCTGAACACTGGCCCTGACCCTAACATAATCCTGGCTCCAAAGCTCACTCTAAACCAAACCTAATCCTAACATTAGACCTACCCATAACCCTAACCCTAAAACTAGCCCTAATCTAAACCCTAGCTCTTACATTACCCATGGCTCAAACCTTAGGCCTAAACTAGCACAAAACCTAGTTGTAATTTTAGGCTTGAACATAGCCCTAAGTGTATCCCTAAACCCAACCCTAGCCCTAACTCTAACCCTAAGCCTCGCTTTAGATCTAACCCTAGCTCAAAGCCTAACATTTACCCTTAACATAACCCTAGCCATATCCCAAACCCAAATCTAACACAAGCTCTAATCCTAACATTAACCATAGCCCTAACCATAGATCTAATTATATCAACTACCCTAACCCTAACCCTAATCATAACCATAAGCCTAGCCCAAAACCTAGCTTTAATTCTATCCACTATACTAACCACAACCCTAACCCTAATGCTAATCCTAGGCTTAACTCTAACCCTATCGCAATCCCTAAACATATCCATTGCCTTAAGACTAACCTGAACACTAATCCTAATCCTATTCATTACCCTAACCCTAATCTAATCCTAATGCTAATTTGAGCCCTCAACCTAAACATTAACCTAAACCAAACCTTAAGCCAAATACTGACCCTAATAATACACATAGTTTTAAACTTGACCCTTACCCTAAATCTAATCCTTACACTAGACCTAACCATGAACATAAACTGAAACCTATCTCTAATGTAACCCTAAACCTGACAATAGCCCTAGCCCTAATCCTAGTCCTAACCCAAACAAAAACACTACCTTATCCTAGAATAAAACTTAGCCTTAATCATAACCCTAACCCTAATTTTAACACTTTCCCTAGCCCTAAACCTAGTTTTAACCCCATTGCTTACCCTAAACCTAACCAGACCTTAACACTAACATTAAACCTGGCCCTAACCTTAACCCTAGGACTAATCCCAATATGTAACCTGGCCCTAATCCTAAAGCTAACCTTAATCCTAGCTTTAAGACTAACTACAACTCTTGCCCTAGCCCTAGCCCTAATTCTCTCTATCACTTACCATAATCTTATTCCTAGCCAGAGCCTACATTAACCCTAGCCCTAACCTTACATTTTGCCCTAAACGTAGATCTAAACCTAACTCTAAATCTAACCCTAATTCTAAAATTAACCTAACCCTAACACTAGCCCTAACCCTAAAGATAATCCTAAAACTAGCTCTAACCATAGGCTTAGACCTAAAACCAAACTGAGCCATAATAATAACCCTAAACTTTTATCTAAACCTAGCGTTATTTGAGACTTAACCCTAATTTTAAACCTAATCCTAACCCAAAACTTAGCCCTAAACCTTACCCTAAGCCTAGTCAGAATCCTAAACATAACTGTAGCCTTATCACCAGCTCTAACCCTATCCATTACCCTAACCCTAACCATAACCCTAATACTAACCCTAGGCCTAACCCTAACCTTATTGCTAACCCTAACCTTATTCATTAACCTATACCTAACCTGAACCCTAAACCTAACCCTATCATTACCCTAACCCTAACTCTAATGCTAATTTGAGCCCTAATCCTAAACTTAACCTAAGCCAAACCCTAACTCTCATGATACCCGCAATAATATACCTAGCTCTAACCCTGACCCTACCCCTAAACCAAACCCTTATACTAGACCTAGCCATAAACCTAACCCTAAGACTATTCCTAATGTAACCATAGACCTGAAATTTGCCCTAGCTCTAATCCTAGCCCTAACCTTAACACACACCATAACCCTAACCCTAACATAACCATAACACCAGCCCTCATCCTATCTATAACCCTAGCCCTAAACTTAGCTCTAACCTTATCAATTACCATAAACATAGCCCTAATTCTAATGCTAAACCTAGGCCTAAAACTAACCCTATGCCTAACCATAACCCTATCCATTATGCTAAACCTAACCTGAACCCTAAACCTAACCCTATCATTACCCTAACACAAATCCTAATGCTACTTTGAGCCCTAACCCTAAAACCTGACCTAAACAAAACTCTAAATATGACCCTGACCCTAATAATACCCCTAGCTCTAAATTTGACCCTTACCCTAAATCTAACCCCTACACATGCTAGGCAAGCGTTCTACCACTGGACTACAACCCCAGCCCTGAGTTTGCTTTCTCTTTTTTGCCAGAATTTTCATTGCTTTTACAGTGGAACAGATTTATGGAGGCCCTCACTTTATCATTTCAGATGTATTTTTTCCTTCTTTTAGCCTTTCATGGCTACAGAAAGGAAAGAAGTTTTAGGGAATTTTTCTTTGAATTATGATTATTTGGATACCTGTTCTCCATTAGAATAGAGGTTTCTTGGTGACAGAAATTTTCTTTAGTATGTTTTTTTCATGGCAATTTTTATGGCATCTGCCTTGTCCTAGCCGATGTTAAGTATGTTGTGGGACAGGCAAATGACTATTTCTTAGATGAATGGGGACTCTTGGTTCTGGGATGGCCAGATAATGGCAAATTGTCTTTAAATGGTAACATGATCCAATTTCCTTTACAATCAGTGTCAGCTCTGTGGTAGGACATAATTCTTCTGTACACTATTCCCTGGAAAGCACCAATTTAACCCTACTAATAGAATGTTTCTCTTTTGAGTTTGGAATTCACTGCATTGGAATGTAGATTAATCAATCTATTAACTTATATGTAAGTTATATGTAAGTTCACTGATTGAGTGCCAGATACTATAGTGCCAGGTTTCTATGCATAAGGAAATAAGGCTGAAAGAAACTCATGGAACTCACAGTTTAGAGTCAAGACAGACACAAAACCAAACCAAAACCAATACAAACTAAAAAATGTTAAGTACAAGTTGTGATAAGTATTATGAAGGAAAGAAAATGTTGTTTGGGTGTAAGATTTTAGCTAATTTACAATAACTACCTTTTCTTGCAATATCTTTGCATTTTTTGCACTTATCTGTCCTTTTTAAAAATAGCCCTCAGTGTTTTTCATTATCTTTAACTTTCTAGTTTTCTTTTTAACAATACTATTAAATTTGATTATATCTGCCTTACCTTCACTTATAAAACAGATATAGACTTCACTGCTTAATTCCTGCTTCCTCTTATCTATTATCATCTGACTGTAGGATGGACCTTTCCCTCCTTGTCCTCCTAGGAACCTATGGGAAAACCTAGGTCACATACAGGAATTGGGGATAGTGCTCAGATTTTAGGGCACTGAATAAGAAAACACATCAAGGGACAGAGAAATGAGAGACCTTAGGAGTACAGTGAGAGCATTGGCTTTGTGTAGACACAGGAGAGGATTACTGGATCTATCTAGGTGGGTCCCCTGGTGACAGTAGAGATGGACAGTGAAATTTGGGTCATGTAATGGTTGGACTATGGCTTAAGTTTTTAGAGGATCTGTCAAAAATCAATATATAAATTACTTTTCATTTTTTGAGCACCTAAAATGTAGTGCAAACTTAGCTGTTTTGGGTGTGGGAGAAGGCTAGAAAAAGATGAAGTGGTGAATGAGCATCTTGGTAGCTAGGGCACAAGGGCATGAGTAGTCTCCAGGGATCTGGCTAATTGTGATGTTACTTCTTTTTGGCCAGTGTTTGTCCAGCATGATGCTGCTCAGCTTTACCTTACAGTCTGGAACCTAATTAAGGACCAAATCACTGACATGGACTTGGTAAGATCCTGGAACAAGAGAACTCAGAGGTTTAGGATGCTACTCATATAACTCATTCAAAAATGTTTATGTAAGATGGAAAAAAGAATTAATTCATATACAATGCTTATTACAGTTCCATAATATAATTACTCTTTTGCACCTTTATATGTAAGACAATGAACTTTAGTGGCTACCATTTCTGGAGCTTTCGTCTTCTTGATCCAACTTCTGATAATAGGCCTGAGATGGTTTAGGGCTTTTTCCCTGATTTACCTCTTTCCTCCTTCCTCTTGCAGGTAGATAGGTTGCAGGCCTTGTACATGATCCGGATGAAGGAGTCCTTGATTTGTCTAGACTGTGCCAAGGAGAGTAGCAGAAACAGTAGCATGCTTACTCTCCCTCTTTGTCTTTTTGATATGGACTCAAAGCCCCTGCAAACACTGGTGAGAAACTTTTCTTGGTGGATTTGAACACTCCAATGTTGCCAATCCCTCGTTGCTTCTTTTATCCACCTTTGGCTTTGTATTTCGTTTCTGTGGCTTTGCTCAAGTTCTCCTTTGACTGGCAAAATCAATCAATTAATTAATTAAAATTAATTAATAAAAAACTTCTCACCTACTTTCACTTTACTCAAAATGTTTCCTTAAATGTGCTCCTCCCATTTTATTTCTCCAAATAGTGGAATCTTTATTCTTTTTGAGATTCTACTTAATGTACTGCACTGGGCCAGACATTTAGGGGAGCTTGGAGAAAACTGGACATAAACCTTGCATCCCTACCATAGGGGTGTAGGGGATTGTTCTCTAGATGGTAAATACCAACATTGCATTTTTCTTGTTCTGGATGAGACAGGAGGATGCCCTACGCTGTTTCTTCCAGCCCAGGGTGTTATCCAGCAAGTGCTTCTGTGAGAACTGTGGGAAGAGGACACATAGCAAACAGGTACTTCTTAAATTCAGCTACTTCACTAGTCTGGGTTTGCCCCTAGTGGACTTCCTGATATCATCTTTCCAGACCCCTAAGGGTACCTCATGCTGGTTGAGGAGGGAATTTGGATTAGGCTAGTATCTGGTGTTTTAGGGCTTCTGATTTTCATAGCTGTGGATGTGGCTTCTCTCTCACTGAGAGAAACAGAGCCTTTTAAAGAATAGAGAAGATTCGAAAGAAGTGGTTAGGTTTTCCCCTATGAGATAGACTAGCTTTCTAGAGCAGACTCCATAGTTACTCTGGTTTCAGGAGCCTCTGTAGAACCCTGGGGCTGCTGGTGCCTTCTGTGGAAGATGTGCAATGGTGTGGTAGTCAAATGTCACATGACTCTTGGAGGAACCCAACAGATTCAGTGAAATGGAGCCCTTAACTCTATGTTAGATCATGCTGAATTCCTCTTTTGGAGAAGAACGTTCTACTAGCCCTGATATTTTTCTGTCTTTCCATTTCAAGTGCTTTAGGACTTCACTCCACAGTGATTTTGCTTTTTCAGGACTTGAAGCTGACCCATTTGCCCCAGACCTTGACCATCCACCTCATGCGATTCTCCATCAAGAATTCACGGACAGAAAAGATCTGCCACTCACTGTATTTCCCCCAGAGCTTAGATTTCAATCAGGTTCTTTCAAATGAGCAAGTCCTCGGTGATGCCAAGGAACAGGTGAGATGTTCTTTCCCATTATATATCAATCTTATCAGGTACCACAGCCTTAAGATTCTGCCTTCCTGGACCCCTCAGCTGCTAGAAGTCGCCTGCTCAGAAGTTCTATAGTCCACATCAATGATGCAGTCTGTGTGGTAGAGTGATGTCAGGTTCCAGACTGTGATGGTAGAGTCAAACAGCATCATGCTGGGCAAACACTGGCAAGGTGAATGGGAGCAGATCAGTTAGTGAGGTCTGCTTCCTCTGTGTCATTCTTTTATCTGAGAAATCTTTTTTTTTTAAAGAGAGAGAGGAGAGAGAGAGAGAGAGAGAGAGAGAGAGAGAGAGAGAGAGAGAGATAGATTGATTTTTAAAAATATTTATTTTTCAGTTTTCGGTGGACACACATCTTTATTTTATGTGGTGCTGAGGATCGAACCCAGTGCCCCATGCATGCCAGGCGAGCGCGTTACCGCTTGAGCCACATCCCCATCCCCTATCTGAGAAATCTTGTCCTCTGCTGCCATGTTGGGATGTTCAAAGGGAGGAAAACCCAGTCATAGCTTGGTGTGATTCATGGAAGCATACACAGATTCAAGACACACTTATTTTTAAACAATATTTAAATGTGGTCTTATGGAACAATGGCAGATTTTATCACCTCACTCTTACTACCAGACTTTGCTGTTGATTATGACTTTAATTTTCTCTTAAGATTCAAAAAACTTTCTTATTTCTAAACATTGGGTCTGTACTTAAAGGCCTTGAAGGATTGAGGGAAGGAACTCATAATTCAGTTCTTTGCTTTTAATTTTAAAAAGCGTGCATTGATGAGCCACACAGTTCTATCCTGACCCCTGCATCACAAATGGTCAGATTTCATACTTTAAAAAAAACTTGATTTCATTTATGGCTCTGTAGACATTTGTGTATGCTTGAATGGTGCTTGATTTCTAGTTTTTATTTGTCATATTCTCTTATAAAATTTGCATTATTTGGCAAAAATAATGTTATTTTGAAAAAAATAACACATGGAATAGGTATAAATGCATAAGTGCAACTTTATTATTAAAATAGCCAAGGCCTACTTTGAAGGTAATAAGAAAGTAGTAAGTTGATTGGGCCAGATTTAATCAGAGTAAAGTTTCATTTAGTTGTCATGATATGACATTATATTCATTTATGGACATTATATTAATTTATTGGGAGATGCTGAGGAAAAAAATGACATAAATATCCTTTGTTCATAGGTTTGAAATACTACATTCAACAAATTTTGCATTTCCATATATATGGGTCAGGTTTTAGAACATTGTTTCTTTTACATTTTCTGTTTGTCTATTTATGCTCAGAACCATGCTATTTAAAAAGTTAAGTAAAACCTTAAGTCAGGTGCTGTGGCCCATACCCATAATTCAGCTACTCAGAAGGTTGAGGCAGGAGCATCCCAAGTTTGAGGCCAGACTGGGCGACTTAGTGAGATATTGTCTCAAAAGGGCCCTTGGGTTCAATTCCCAGTAATGAAAAATAAATTAAGGACTGATAATATGTTACAACAATATTCAGTTTATCAGGACCTCATAGGATTCTTCCTTTCTCTCTTTCCAGTTTTTCTTATTTCTCCCTACCTAGTTTTGCCTGATGAATTATATTTAAAATTTCTTCTGCTTAAAAGAGACTTTGTTATTAAAAATTTCAGATACATACCAAAGCACAATGAATTCACATGTATCCATCAAAGAGCTTAACAGTTTCCGAAACTAATGGTCAATCTTGATCTATCTCCACCTTCATCCTCTTCTTTTATCCCACCCTTAACTAGATTCAAGACACACTTATTTTTTAAACAATATTTTAAAGCAAATCCCAGACATCATGTGTTGAATTTTATGAATATTTCATTATGTCTCTCTAAAGAATAAACACTCTTTTTCTAAATATAGCTAACTCTAACTTATAATTCCTTAATATTTTCAAATATCTAGCCAGTGTTCAGATTTCTTCTTTAATTTGTGTGGTTTGTTTGAATCTAGATCCAAACGAGGTCCATGTTTGCATTTGGCTTCCCTTTCCCTCCTCCTTCCCTTCCTTCCTGTTAAATTTATTTTAGGTTTTGCCTGCCGTTTTTTTTTCTTGTAATTTATTTTGTTGAATTTTTTATATTCCATAATTGGCTGGTTGGTGTCATTTAACATATTCCTCTAAACTCTACTATTTCTTGTAAACTGATCATCAAATCCAGGTATTGTTCTGCATTTCAAAAAAAGTTCAATATAGAGCCCTTAAGTAAAAAGAAGTATAGAGTAAGTGGGGCCCTCCATTTTGAGTGAATTAACTTCGCTTGCTCTGCCTCACACCCTATCCCCTTCTTCCATTCCATTTCCAAAGTCTTAGGTTAGGGGTGTTTATATGAATGTGGAGAAACTAGAATGAAGTGTTCCTTTTTAAAAAAGTACTTTACAGAAAATGCAATTTTATTTATTTTTAAAAAATCTAAATTAGTAATTGATTTTTACTTTTTACATGCTATTTTAATTTTAATAAAATAAATTCATATTACATAGAACAAGTGTATCAACTACACTCATTGTTGATAAAATTTTAGAAATATTTGAAATTGGTTAATTGATCTAAAATTACATAAAAATTGTGTATGTTTATGGTGTACAACATGATGCTTTGATATACGTATACATTGTGGAATGAATGATTGGGTTAAACTAATGAGCACCTTCATTACCATATGTATATATTTTTTGTGGTAAAAACATTTATAATCTATTTTTTAAATTTTTGTGTGGTACTGGGGATTTAACCCAGAAGCATTCTACTTCTGAGCTGCATCCCCAGGCCTTTTTATGTTATTTTTCAGTCAGGGTCTTGATAAGTTGCTCAGGCTGGCCTTGAACATGTGATCTTCCTGTCTTAGCCTCTCAAGTAGCTGGGATTATAGGTGTGTGCTACCAGACCCAGCTTAAAATCTATTTTTAAAGTAAAATTGTAGTTTCTAATATATTACTGTTAATTATAGTTATTATAGTTACTGTACTGCACAAGAGATTTCCAGAACTTCTGCCTCATAATGGAAACTTAGTATTTCTTGGCCAACCTCTTACCATTCTCCTCTACTCCAGCCCTGGTAACTACTATTCTGCTCTCTGCTTCTGTTGAGTTTGACTTCTTTTAGAGAGAAGAATTGTTGACATGTTGACTAACATGGAGATCTTGCTTATAATCAATCAAAACTCTCTCTTATCAGTATTCCTTTTTCAAAGAGAATTATCTCTTTTTTGATTTTCTAAGATTTTGAGGGAGTAGAATGATTTACTGCAATGTCTAATGAATGCTTTTGGGCTTTTCCCCTAAATATTTCTGTGATATTCCATGTTATTGATACTTAAAAACATCAACTTACCCTAAGTTTCTCGCATAGGGTTTCTTCTTCCATTGCTAGATCATTTTCTGCATGTCAGTTTAGCTGAAACGTAGGTTTAGTTCTATTCCTTCTTCTCTCAATATTTTGAAGATCATCTCATAAATTCTAATGGATTCAATAATTGTCTCAAACTGAAGGTTTCTGAGTCCATATCTTCTGTTGAGTTTTTTTCTTGGTATCCACACCAGAGTTTTTACCTTCCAATTTAATATTCTCACAGTCTCCAAATTCATTGTCCTTAATTTCAAACAGCGCTGTTTCATGTTGACTTTATAGTATCAACATCTACCGAATTACCAAGCCAGAAATCTGGGATTCATCCATGTGATGCCCCCCATGCCCCTACCTAATTCAATCAGTTACAAAGCACCTTTAATTATTTCTGCCTAATTTTGTACAAATCTGTCCCTTCATTTCTACCTTTACTCTTATGTTCTTCAGAGTATGAACTGGGTTTCAATCTACCTCTTTCAATTGTTTTGGCCTTGGTTAAATTATCTTTTATTCCAGAGCTCAGATTGTACCTCTGTTAGATAGAGCATTACTAGTACCCACCTCAGAGTGTTGTTTATTAAATGAAATAATTTATGTAAAAACCAACTGCATACTAAATGCCAAAAGTTAGCTAATAATAATGATTATTATCACTTTAATGACTAACACTGACAGTAATCATTCAGGTTATACCATTTCTTCCTCACTGTATTTTTGTATTTTAATTTATCTCATTGACTTCCTATCACACATGAACTTTCCATTTATTTTTTCAAAGTACATTGTTTCAGTGGTTTTTCTCAAAAATAAATCTGATGATGTTGTTTTTTCCTTAAAATTGTTTGAATGTTCTCCCTCATTCATGGGATAAAGTTCTAATTCTTTTCTTTTTTAAATTTTGAGATAGGGTCTCACTAAGTTTTCCAGGGTGGCCTTGAATTTGAGATTTAAGTACCTGGGATGAGAGGCTAAAGTTCTAATTCCCAACTTGGTCTGTGAAGATTACCATTTTCTTAATATTCTTTGCTCTGTTAAGCTGCTGAATCTTTGCAGTTTCTGGGTTTGCATTAAAAATACTGCCTTCTTATAACTTGCCTGCTGATCTTATCCATCCTTTAAGGGCAGTTAAAACAGTCCTTCACTGGTAAGCTTTCCCTAGCCCCTTAGCCCTTCCTTAGCTGTTCATTCCTTCTTCTTTTTTTGGGGCAAAAATGGATTCTTCCAAAATTACCTGTAAATATACTTTTTTAAAAATAAAACATGCCATTATAGTTCGGTTTATATACTTGTTCTTCCATTAGCAATGAGATTTTTGAGGTCAAGGACTTTTTCCTAGTATCTTTGAAGTACCAGTGCCTGACAAAGAGCAGGAAGTGAATAAATGTGTGATGACTTAATATTTCCTTTTTCAAGTCTGAGTTTAGAAAAAGAGGGGGTGAATCATTTTATGCTTTGTCTTCTTCCAGTCTGAAGGGCAGTTTGAACTCTTTGCTGTGATTGCCCATGTGGGGATTGCTGACTTGGGTCATTACTGTGCCTATATCCGGAATTCTGTGGATGGAAGATGGTTTTGCTTCAACGACTCCCATGTTTCTTGGGTGAGAAACAACACCAAAAATTGCCTCTTACCCTGAACTATCCACCTGTAATAAGTTCTGAGGATCTTCCTGGATCCTCAAGGCCAAGACACAGTATGGTATTGTTCTTTGTGTGTGAGGGTGGGTTATGACTTCAAAACCCTATTCTGCATGAAATCCCTATCTGGTTTATAGCTTTGTAAATCTCTGTAAGAGGCCATTACCTCAATGTCCAGGTTTCTGGTGCTGTGGACTCCTTGCTCTGTAGCTCCTTGCTCTGTGGGAAACTTCTGTAAAGCAAGAAGAGTTATAGATATGTAAGATATATACATACATATGTATGTAACTCTGGGGAAAGCATGACCAAGTTCAAGAGGAGGAATGAGGCTATTAAAAATACTATTATGCGTGACATACTATAATTAGATGCTCCAGCTCTTGGGAGATACTAGGGTGGGTTTGTCTAGAGGAGTGAAAGAGGGCAAATTGCAGCATCCTATATTCTGTGGATATTTAGTAAATGGTCAGCCAGGTGCTGACTTCTGTTTATGTACTTCTAGGTGTCCTGGGAAGACATCCAGTGTACCTATGGAAATCGTAATTATCGCTGGTAAGAGAAGTATTTGGGTGATGGAAACCTGATGAATTTAAGCTGATTCTTGGAGCTGTATGGAACTCTCATGGACTTAGCCATTGCTTATATTCTGATGGCTTTCCAGGGACTAACCATTCAGCCTCATTTGTCAGCACCCATCCCTCTACACCATAGTGTTCTAACAATTTAGACTCCAGTAATCCTCAAGTGTAAGTGACCATGTCTGCCATCTTCCCCTTCTAACTACACATAAGGAGTTTCTGCATTGCCCTCTCCTGATTTACCTTTTGTGCAAACTCCCCCTCACATTTCAATACTCATGACTTTCTCTGCTCATCAAAGTCTTATTGGTTGACCTGATCAGATTTGTAGGGGCTTCTTGTGTGCTTTTATTGCATCTTGAGCATAACTCCATCATAGCAGGAATCATGCTGTTTTTAAATTGTTTTGATACATCCTTTCTTTCACATTAGACCTTTGTACTCTTTGGGGAGAGAAAGATCATTTTTTTCATATTTCTTTGTCTGGTATAGTGGCTTGCATTTAATAAGTATCAAATAATACTTTTTAAATTGGTAACTATGTCAGGGAAGGAAGCTTTAACTTTATCAAGTTAAAACAGAGAGACTTTGTAAGTTTTTCTGGCTGAGTTTCTGGAATAGGAGTGACAGTGTATGCCAAAGGTGATATTAAAGATGATTTTCAGTTGCAGAGATAGGTTCTATTATTTGAAAGTAACAAATTAGGTGTAATTTGTGTTTGAAGCCTTTCTCAGGCTTCTTCTTTTTCATATTTCTCTTCTATTTCTTCTAAGCTATCTTTCTTACATGTCCAGTCTTTGTTGTAGTTATTGATTGATCCATGACTTAGATTAGGGATTGTCAGACTTAACTCTGTAAAGGACCAGAGAGAAAATATTTTAGGTTTTATGGGCCATAGTCTCTGTTTCAAGTACCTAACTCTGTCATTTTAGCATAAAAGAGGACACAGACAGTACATGAATGAATTAATTTAATTGGCTATGCTTCACTTACATTTATTTGCAAAAAACAGGGTTGGTCTTGGCTCATGGTCCCATAATTTGTCAACATATGATTTAGATATTAACTAGTAGCATATTTAGTGGTTATTTCCCACCAAGTCACTATTTTGTTTCTCTCTGAAGAGTTGTTTTTTGTTGCTGTAACAAAATACATGAGGCTGAGTAGACGAGGCTGAGTAGATAATGGATAGCTGAAGGTTTGATTCAACAGCCTGGAAGTTTGCTAATGCTTGTCCTATCATGAAATAATAATATTGTTTCACTATCAGTGGTTCATTTTGCTATGCTGATGAATTTTCTCATCTTTCTAGGCAGGAAACAGCATATCTTCTGGTTTACATGAAGACTGAGTCCTAATGGATATTTATTCTATATCTTCAGAGATTGACAGACTATCATTTTCCTTTCCTATTCTTGGATCTATTGACTCTTGTATGAGATTCTACAATGAAAAAAAGCATCACTTTCCAACTGTATAGTTACATGTTATTTATAATCAGGTGGGGATTATGTTTTGGATCTGGTTTGTCTTTCAAAGGTTCATGTGCTGGAGACTTGGCCAAACATGGCAGTGTTGAGGTGGTGGAAACTTTTTAAGGGGTGGGGCCTGGTGGGAGGTAAGTAAGTTCATTGTTTTTCCCCTTCTTCATGATGATGGTTCCCTTTCACTTCTCAACCATGTTCTGATTGCCAGCTTGTTGGCATCATGCTGATAAGACCTTCCAGTCACCAGAATGTGAGCCAAATAAATGTATTTACAAAGTACTCAGCCTCATGTATTTTGTTATAGCAACAGAAAACATATTAGCCCAATTATCATACTAGTTAACAATGATATTGCACAGGTCAGAATCAAAATGTGTACTTTTATCTGTAGATCCTGGCCACATGGCTAGATAAGGGTTATCAGTGTTACTTACTTTGAAAGACATTAACTCTCTAGTTGGAGGATTGTATTTAGTTGAGGGAGTCCAAGTAATTCCCATGGAAAAAAACACTGGTAGTGGAAGGCATTTGGATAGCAAGGGGCAGTGGTAGGGAAGTCAATATTTCAATATTTTACAACTATTGGGACCATACTGATTTGTACTGGCTGAATATCAGTTCCATTTATAATTTGTTACTCATTTAATTGGAAACTATGTATTGATCACCTGTTCTCCATCAGATAATGTACAGGCACAATAACATTCTTTCCATCGAAAGGAGTTTGCAGCTTAATCAGGGATAATTAAAACCCATAGGATACTGAATGTTTGTGCTATAGGAATTCACAGGATAGTTAATCACTTCTATTGTGAGGCCATAGGAGAAGACTTCAGACTGGAAAGAGGTTGGGTTGAAGAACAATCCATTTGTAGGGAAAACATACTCAGTGGCTTGAAAGGTTTGAAAAAATCCACAAACCTGGATTCCCTACACAAAAGAAAAAGTGGTTATGGGAAGGGAGGTGAAGCTCAGAATGTGTGAGGCTCAAACTAGCTAAGAAATTTGTTTCAAATTTGAAAGGAAATGAATTTAAGTGGCTAAAAAAGTAATCATTAGTTGTGTTCTGTTAATTAATCTTTAAAGTGGCTGGTGATGTGGATTAGATGAAGGTATGATAGTGGAAATGGAAAAACATTCAGAGCCCCTGGAGCCATTTTGGAGGAAAACGGATGTGGGTGATAGGAGAAATCCAGAGAGTCCAATACCAACCAGTAATGTGAGCAGGGTGGGTGTTAACATACTCTGACCTTTGCCATCCAGGAGGCTCAGTTATTGGTTTGTGTTAGGTAACCTGCCAAATGCTGGGAACTCAAGGATAGGATATTAAAGCAGGCAGGATATTAAACATGACCCTTTGTGTCCAATCATGCCAAGTTCACAGGAGAGTTTGTCTTAACAACAGGCTTCAGTTCATAAAGGGCTTTGTTGTGTGGTTAGTGCTAGGAACACAACTGTCCCAGGGTCATCTGCCTGGTGTTATAGTTTAGTAGATGTGAGTGCAGGCCTCTCACATTTTTGAGGGTGATGGGAGGCATCTTTTGCACAAACATCATCCTTAACTGCCCCCCAAAACAAAGGTGTTTGGATTTCTTAGTCTGAGAGTGAACATTGGATCATTGGTATCACAATGTTTGCATCTTAGAGAAATCAGCCTTTTGCTTCTGTCATACAGTGCCCATTGTCATGTCAATTCATGCTGACATACCAGGTTTGTGACAGTTGGCCTCTGCTCAATTCTCTTTTTCAATTTTGTTTTTGATTTTGCTACAGCCCGACTTGCATTTTTTTCTTTGCATTTACTTACTGTAACTGTCACACAACAAAAAATTTTAAAAGCTAATTACATTTTCTAAATAAATTCTGGTCAGTATGATACCACAAAGTGTGCATCTTTCCTCTCCCTGTTTTCTGCATTTAAAAAAGGGACAGAGCACTTCAGTTTGTTTTGTTTTTGTTTTTGCTCTGTCTTTAAAATGTACTTTTAAAGTTCATCATGTACCCTTTTGCCATAAATTCCTTTTGGCTCAAGAGAGAAATATTTTTAAAACTTGGTTAAAAATTTTTTTTGTAAGACTCTTGAATTTGGGGTACTGTTTTAGTTACCAAAAGATCTGACAAGAACAATGTAGAGAAGAAAAGATTTTAGTCTGAGGCTAATGGTTTCAGAGGTCTTAGTCTGTTAGGTTGTAGTTAGCAAAGAGCAGTGAAATGCATGGCAAGATAGGTTTACTTTATGCTACTCTTACTGTTAAGTGGAGGTGGCTAGAACAAAGTACCAAGCAACCATCACGTGCAAAAGAGCCACGAATCAGGCACTGATGGAATCGCCTGTCAATCAGTGGGGTCTCCTGGCCAATCCTGGATCTTAGCCAGCTCCCCCGCAACCCCAGTAGGACAAGGGACTCTAAAAACCTCTTTTCCTGTCTCAAGTCCTCCCTTCCTGCTCTAAGCCCAGTAAAAATTCCAGTCAAGTTGAGGCCCCCCTGTGCTTCTCCTTAGACCCTCTTCTTACTTGCTCTGTCAGTCTGAGGGTTCTGCCTGGGAGTGAAATCTCAATAAAGCCTCGTTCAGTGGCCTTTTAAAATCTGCCTCCTTTTGGTCACCGCTGCCTGACCTTATACTTAAAGTCTTCTTTAAGTCACTGCCAAGGCGGATAAGTAAATAATTTGTAATGGATAAACTGTAGAAAAACATTGGTAGAGCCTGTAGAAACAATTGGGAGTGTTCTCTGCTTAAGCCTCACTTTGCTTTTACTTTATTTTCACCTCACTTTCACTCTACTATCATGTAAAATAAAGTTCTCTTGCATGACTTTTGGTGTCTGACCTTACATTTTCTTTCACTGGAACACAAGACTGAGGTTTGAAGTTTCAGTTCCATGCTTTCCTGTGACAAGTCCACAGTTGGCTGACTCCTCTGCTTTGGCCCAAGGTGAGTTAGAACATCTTGGTGAAAGAGTATGGTGGAGGAAAGCAGCTCAGGACATGGCAAAAGGGAAACAGAGTAAGCTCTGCTCACCAAAGACAAAATACAAATCCTTAAGACATGCACACAGAGACCCTTACCTCCTCCAGATACACACAGATAAGGATTATTCCTCCTAACCATAAAATCTATAAGAATTTATGGTTAAGAACTTAATTAGAACTAGTCAACATGGGCCAAAGGGACCTAGAGTTGTCATGGCAGTGGGAAATTGAGTCTGATGTCATTCTGCTGTCAGTCAAAAGTCAAAAAGTGGACTTGGGTGGGACTCTCTGGAAATTTCTGTGAGATACCCAATAAAACTGGGATTCAGGAGAGGCACACTATCCTCTCTCCTCTCTGAGAGGACCCACACTCTCACCTAAGAGTGTCCCCTTACCCTTACCCTACTCCTTGAGTAAACTCATTGATATTACTCTGAGCAACATATTTGAAATCTTTCTGACTTGATTCCAAGAATCAGAGGTTGAAAGAGGTCCTTTGCACTGCCTCAATTTTCTGGAATTCCCCAGCCCTGCAACAGTTTGTCTTTGAAATACCTTAATAAGCTCTCTCCTTTATTTTTTAGTTCCATTTCAGTTATGGAGAAAAAGCAAAGAAAATGGCGCGGGGTGGGGGGATACTGCTATCATGAGGTAAAATAAACCAAGATTTTAAATCAAGGGCAAGTGACTCAAAACCACACATGTACACATAAGACCAAATAATAATAAGACTTTAAGCAAGATCTCTAAAGAGTGAAAAAAGAATAGGGGTGGTGGGATATCTCTCTCAAAATCCAGAACAGTTCTAATGTTGGCCTAATGGAATAAAGATTTACTAGTCACAAATGGAGGTATAACAGACATTTTTGCCTGGTCATAATTTTGGGGTTTATTTATTTAATTATTATTGGCTGACTGATAACCTTATGAATGTTCCCTTAAAGAGTCAAAAAGAGATAACACCTGGCCTATGAAATTGTAGCATGAAGCATGGGGTTGAATGGACCAGATGAGAGCAAAGTAACAGATTTATTATAGTAATAGAAAGAAAGCAGAGGGAGGGGTTCCAAGAGATTGATACTGAAGAGTGGCTATTGTCTAGAGGTTTGTTTAAGTCTATAGGTTTAAGGAATCCAGTCCTCTGCCCAATCCTGGGTAAGGTACTCCATGTTTAGAAGGTATTCATTAAGGCTTTAGTCCAATCAAAATATCCATTAGGAATTTTTTATTCTTTGAAGAGACATGGATCCCAGTCACATAGATCTGATTTAAAATAGCCTCTTTTCAAGTGTTTCAGCAAATATCTGCAGCTGCTGTTGCTCTACTCTCCAGGGTGAAAGGTGAGTAACTCACCTGAGACAGAGATTCAACCAAGAGATTTGATTGGGGGACTGCCTGAAGGAGAGGCAGAGAGCACAGAGAAGAGGGCAGAGAAAAAGAGAGGAAGACAGCAGAAAGCGGAGAGAAGAGAAGAAGAGGAGGGCAGAGAGAGAGCATGTGCTTACAAGTTTTGGCTTTAGAAGGGTTGCATAGGGGACATGGCTGGTGCTGGTTGGCAGGGTGACTCAGGACCAGCAAGCAGACACTGGGTCCTGTGTGTCCTGCGGGGATTGGTTGAGAAAACCTTTGAATTTGGCTATCTTCTTCAGCTTGGTGCCCTTTGGAGAGGAGGGGGAGGGGTAAGGGATGCCATGATGTTCTCTCAGAATGGGGAGTCTCCCACACACCCAACATTCCTCCCTTTTTGTTTTTGTGTTGGGAGTAGGGTGAAAAAACTCTCTGGCTACTTCCTGCTGGACAGGGATGAAGAGTGAAGGAAGGAAGGAATGGTCAGGGTGTGGGGACTAGAGAAGCATAGCTGTAAAGACCAGGGCACTAAAGATGTGAATTTCCTTGGGGCCAAAATCAATGAAAGTTCCTCGAAGCCATAGGTCATGGATAGTCTTGATCCAATCCTTGTCCCTGCAAATGGGGGGAGTCAGCCAGCTGTCCTGTCAGAGGGCCTCCATGAACTCCACGAACCAGGTGTGCCACATGGTGAACCTAAGAACACCAAAGATACCCGAAGGCAAGGAGAAGAAGAGGGGAGAGGATACACCACATTATCTTCTGGGGGGAGGTCCAGTGAGAGGAACTGGCTGAGAAAAGACCAGAAGTCAGGAGGAGGCACACGAAAGCAAATGGGCCTAGAAACCCTGGGAAACAGGCTAGTGAAGTTCTTGCAGTCGGGTTTCCATTTTGTAGCTCCATATCCATGATGGTGAAGTTCCGTCAGCCATTGGTGAGGCCTTCACGTAAGGGACAGGT